GGATTGTTTCCTATAACTGAATTAGCTCATGTGATAAACGATGATAGTTCATTTTGCAAGAGCTAAAAGAATGTGCTGCGGGCTTAAAACTGCAAAGACACCTTTTCATGGCAATGGAATGAAAGGGTCCTCAGTATCTTGCGACCTTCTAATCAGGTGCTTCTGTACTTGCTAATCCTTAAACTACAGTCTTGAGGAAGAAGCTGGGTAGCATGGAATAAGAAATGAGTGGGCTGTGGGGAACTACAAATATCCAAATTCCCTCAGCCCCTTCGTCATTCAGTCACTCCCTCGTTCAATTAATAAACATCAGATTTCTTTTCTGTGACAAGCATCAATAATGTCTCTCTCATTTCCATTCCCACTTCTTCCTGGCTAAAGGAACACTAGCTTTCCTTTGGGTGACAATGTTCCTAGCCCCAGTCCTATCCCCTACTTTCTATGCCTCTCTCTGTCGTGAGGAATGATCACACAACTCTGTTGAGGCCAATGAGTTTGTGAAATACCTTCTGGGGAAATGTTTTATTTCCTAATAAAAGTGGGGCAAATGTGGCTGGCTTAATCATCTTGCCCTTTCTTCCTTTGAATGCAGACATGATGTCTGGAGAGGCAGCAGCCCCATGAGACTATAAGCCAACCCACACAGTAAAGATGGTAAAAGGAATGAAAGGAGGTCAGAAGGTGTCCAGGACCCCGATGACATCACTGAACACCTGAGCTAAGATTAAAAGTAGCTTACATCTTAATCTCTTTTTGTGAGAAACAAACAAAATTTTGCCAATGCTTTTCAATTAGGGCATAGTTTTGCCCCCAAGGGACGTTTGGCAGTATCTGAAGATATTTTTTTGTATTGTCGTGACTCGGCAGTAGTGAGGAGGTTTTTGGCATCTTAACACATAGAACCTTCAGGAGGAAGGTGACTGGGCTAGAGATCGAAAGGTGAGGAAGAGGTGGCCAGGTAAAAGACGTTCCACCAGAGAAAATAGGAGGTGTAAAGGCCAGCAATGTGCATGGGCCTAGAGGGTCCAAGGTTAGACTGATGGCAGTCTAGGGTGTGTGAGAGAGAGTGGTGGGGAAAAAATAACAATAGTTGGTTGGCTGGTGCCTGCTATAGGAAGCCTTGTCCGCTGAGCTAAAGGCTTTGGGCTCTATCCTGTAGGCAATGAGGAATAGGCACGGAGTTTCATTCACAACAACAACATGGTTATCTTTATATTTTTAGCAACATAACTAGTGGCAGTGTAAGGGATTATGTCTAGTAAACAGGCAGGGGTTGGGAAGACATGTTTGGAGGCTAGGCAAAAATTCAGTTGAGAGACTACCATTAGCATTCTGAGAAGTAGGGCAGGGAGTAGTCAAAAGGAGAGAATAAATGTTTAGGATGCTCTGTGTCACATGTTCTTTTGTAATCCATCCAATGTGTGTTTTCTATTAACCTAATGATGCTGGAGACAAGAATGTGCCTTCTGTGTGTTCTCAGCACTTTGTATAGAACTTGCTATATAGGTATGTCCTCATTATACATTTTCTCTTGATAACAGGGAGGATATATTCATGACCAGGATCTAAGAAGCCCTGTAGGGGAGGGGCTAATCAAACATTATATCCACCACTTGGATTCAATAGAAACCACTCAGGAAAGAGCCTAAAGGAGTACGAAGTCAAGGGTCAAAGTCCAAATATAAAAGACTTGAAAATCAAGCTAAAATTTAAAAATGTCTGGATGGGCGTCACTCCAGACCCTTCACTGGCAAGAGTATCTGGATCTCAAAGGATAGAATACAAAAAAGTCAATTCACCAACTCTGGAGACGCCTTCAGGGAGGAGTTTTGTATGTCTTTTCCCTTAGAGTATTAAGAGTAAAGTGACAATAATAAAGCACCTTTGTTAAGGGGATGAAGGTTCAGAATCATTTGTTCCACATTTTCTGAGTACCTACTCTGTGCCAAGCGTTCCATTAGAGGCGTGAATACACACATAAAGGCGGAGGCATGTAAATAATTAGGAGACATTTCTTATGAGGGCATCCTGGATTCTTCACAAATGTTCAGGAGTAACAACCATGTCCATAATCCTTGGCATTCATAAGGCTTCTCTGTAGCTGCTAGAGATTCTGCTACCACTTGGAAGGTGATTATAAAATCATGTAACTCATTTCACAATTATTTTGTTTGACTTCTGGGCGCACCCAGTTTGACCATCTTTTCTATTTGACTTGTCTCTGAATTAATCTTAGCTATTTCTGAAATTAACACATGTACATGACAAAACTTTACCAACTTAGAGGCCAATTTTTATTTATTTATTATTCACATTTGTGAAGCATCCAGGATTCTTCTTATGGAGATCTCAAAGAGTCCTAGGATTATAGCATACAGACATCCACATTAAAGATAAGTAATCTTTCTTAGGTGGAAATTCCCTATATCGTTGGGTGCAAAACTGTGATGTCCTGAGTCAGGGGAGTAAATGTCATTCTGTTTAATCGTCATCAGATGTCATCATCAGATGTTGATTTAACAACTGTTATGAATTGGATCCTGGGAGATACAGTTCTCCCTCTTGTAAGCTTGAGTGTGGGAAGCAGGCATTTCTGGAAGACTCAGAGGCCAAGCAAGGCCAAGGAATCTGCATGCAAGCTCTGAAAATCTTCAGGATGTGGGTGTGTATTCCTGCCTTCTCATGGACACAAGGAAATATCTTTCACAGGAATGTCAAGTGACTTGCCAAATACTATTTTCACAAGTAGATTAGAACTCTGATCTCATTACTAAATTGCACTATATATTGCAATAGCTTAATAAATGAATGATAAGACTTTGAATTGAACACCCAGTCCTATCTTACAGACATTTGCCAGAACTCATCCCAACACATGCTGTCCTATGTGTCTGCCCCGGTAGACACTTTCTCCTGGACCATGCTTCAGGGCCCAATGACCATGAATGAAGCCAATGAACATTCACAGTCATTTACTGTGATGTCCCTCAACAGTATGACCTCAGGGGGCTTCAAATATCTGCCCAGCATTGCCAGATGACTTCTTTCATGCCTATCCTAGAATAAATACTTCCAACCCAGCTGGCCTCACTGATGATAAGGTGTTTGGAACGACCTCTCTCCTCCAAGGCTCCATGAATGGAAAATAGGAAGGGAAATAAGAAGGGCGCTTCCAAGTTGTTTTGCCAGAAAAGGATGAGGGGGTACGGAAATATTTTAGGTTTGGCCAAGTGGCAGATGTGGGTGACTTGGGGAAGTCCTTCCCCATTCTGGAACCCGACAACATAATCCCCCAAACATAGTCTTTCAGGATTCAGTGCCAAATGCCAGAAAAATACAAAAAGGTAAGGGTAACATTAAACAAGTCTTCATCTTTTATTTACCTCCACCTGATACACCTTGAATGACTCTGTTCCCTGCCTGTGATTGTTTTGTCTGCATTTCCTGCTAAGAGTTTCCGAAACAGCACTCCTGAACAGGAAGATGAGAGGCGCACCTAATGTCGAATAACATCAAGGAAGAAAACTGCTAACTCATCCATTTTGTTGTTAAATTGCTCAAAAGGATCAAAATACCAATTAACTTGCTGGCTCAGAAATCTTTGATACCCTCAGATTTACTGACATTTTGAAATTCTTGTTCACACTTGCCTAATGGCTTTCTGATTACGAACAAAGAAGTGCCAATCTGTTTAGCATTTGACCTGTTTTCTTAAATATTTTTATGTATTCCACAGTTAGTGGCTAAAAATACTTGACTAGTCACATTCATGTGCTAAAATAGTCTTTTTTTCCCCTTGTTCCACCTCCAAATTTAAGAGGCAAAAGGAGCTCAAAGACACTTTTTTTAAAAAACCATTTCAGTATTTTTAATTTAAAATCTCTCGCTGCAAGGAAATTTTTTTTTGCCCTTTCTTCTCCATGGAATGTAGTGGCATTTGGAATACTCGATGAAGCAAGATACCATATTAGGATCCGTTCTTCCCAGAGAAAAAGTTGGACAAATAACCTTGGGCATAAGTTTCAGAAAGGATGTAAAGAGAAATTACAGATAACTGATGGGGTGCAGATTTTATAATGGGTTTTAATTTTCCTCTCTGAGTGTCCTCAGCTAGCAGTATACCTCACAGGTGGCTTTTTTGTTATTGTTGCCCTCTATTTCCTCACAGAAACTTTTGTAAAAACTCTACTCATAATCACATGATACACAATGCATCCCTATGGCCATGTACAGGAAAGAAGAGGTTTGGGGCACCTGGGAGGCTCAGTCAGTTAAGCATCCCACTTCAGCTCAGGTCATGATCTTGCGGTTCATGGGTTCAAGCCCTGCATCGGGCTCTGTGCTGACAGCTCAGAGCCTGCTTTGGATTCTGTGTGTGTCTCTCTACCCCTTCCCCCCTCTCTCTCTCTCTCTCTTTTTCTCTCTCTCTCAAAAATAAATAAACATTGATAAAAGAAAAGAAGAGGTTTTCACTCCTAAGTAAAGTCAAATTCTGGGTCTAAAAAGCTCTAAAGCAATTTATTTCAGTAAACACTGATTGAATGCAGTGGACTGAGGATATTAAAAGTGTGGATGCTGAAGACTGCACTGGTTCTAATTTCTGTCCCCTAGATTTCTGTTCTACTATGTACTAGCATGAGACCTTGGGAAAGTCACTTACATTTCTCTGCCTCAATTTCCTCATCCATAAGATGGGAATAATAACAGAGCATAGCTTCCAGGGTTGTTCTATGGGTCAAATGAGATTATATATCTAGGACATTCTGAGTGCTACATAAATGTTAGTTAAGTCATCCTGTTATATCATGCCATTGTTTTAGCTTGAGAGAGGACTGGGTGCCTGGGTGTATTCACATCCACTAAAATCTTGACCCACTTATGGAGGAATACTTTCGAGGTTTTAGAATCTAAAGATATACATAACATACAAATAATTACGGACATTTTAATTTTTTAAAAGTGATCAGAGGGTGCTTACTCTGTCCTCCAGGCTACTGCAATTCAGTTGGAGCACAATTAAAATGCAACAGTTAAACAAGTAAATGGCAATTGCATGTTAGGAGCAGCAATCCCAGGGGACAGGGAGAACCATAGCACAGCCATATTTAACATGATGTAGATTCTGAGATGCTGGCCTGACCTTTGCACAAACTCTTCAAAGAGGATGCGGTGGGAATACCCCTGCCTGCGGATGCTGACTGTCTCCAGGATCCCTGTGGAGCGGAGCTGGGCCAGCACACTCTCTCGGGAGAACTTCAGGGCCTCTCGGTCATCATTGGGTTTAATGCAGCGGACAAAGTGGGGCTGTCCAACCACCATTTTGGAGAGTAGATCCATCAGAGAATACTACCAGGGGGAAAAATACACATGAAATGAGGTTACCCACAAACATAAAGGATAACTACAGTTAGTGCAGGCCTACAGGGGCCTCTGGAGCAGTTTGTTGGCTTGCAAACAACTCACAGACTCTTTCTGAGGCCAAAAAAGAAACCAGCCATAGGGGGTGATAGTATAGGTCCTGATGAGTACTTACAGCTGCCTGTGGATTCAAAAGCATTCTTTAAACATCACCTAGTGCAGGCAATATGCCTATGTGGCAGAGACATAGCTAAGATCATCCTTGGGCTACTCTAACTCCATCGCCAGAACGAACCTGTCTTTGGTATTCCAAGGCAATGCTCCCCAAACTGTACCTGTAATTCAAAATGTCTAGCTTTTAGGAAAGGGGTCAGTTACTTCTTCAACCTAAGAACCACCAGAAAGTCTAGGCAAATCCTACCGATACCACTGGTAATGAGGCAGAAGAAAAACAAGAAAAAGAGAGAAAGAGGACAAAAAGGACTGGAGAAAAGGAGACTATAATGATGATCGACTAACACACATGGAGTGGCTGGCAGGGGACTCACAGAAAGGGGGCACATGGAAAAGCTGAGCACTGCTTGCGCGGGGACAGCCTCAACTGCTCCCCTCAGGGGCATCCGCTTTTGGGGCTTCTCTTTTGGATACACCTTCAGGGGCAATTACAAGCCACAGAGGAGATCAGTTTCATTATTCCATTATCACACCTCCTACTGATCCAAAATGGTGTTACCTACTTGCCAATGTATTCTGTCTCTCAGAATTAACATCCAGGAGCCAGTATTTTGAGGGCACCAAACTGGTTGTCATGGGTATATTTCTGAAGTCCTGTAAGACAGTGGCTTTTCCTGAGGGAGGGACTCTAAGATCTTGAAGATGATTTTACAGGGTTGTTCAGAGCCTCCAGGTCCCATGACATACCCCTACCCCAAGATACTAGGAGGATGCAGCCACCAAAAGGGACAAGACCAGGGTGGGTCTCAAGATAAGAAATAAGTGGCAATTAGAAATGTCCAACCATGAGAGTGACGAGGCAGGAGCTGAGTGTCCGCCTGCTAGAGAAGCTGTAGCAGGAACCGCTGCATGGATGGACTACAGGACTCAACGGGCTCTGAGCCCAATTTTAGTCTACTTCTGAAGCATAGCTGGCTAGGTCAGGCTTCTTGGCTCTGGATCCTTCTGGAAATTACTAGCCTTCCATGGGGCCTTCCACCCATGGTGCTGGCTCCAAGGTCTCATCCTTCAGCCTGCCTTGGCAACTCTAGCTCATGACCACTTGACTTCTCGTCCCTGGGGATCCCCTTCCTTTTGCCACCCCACCTGATAAACTGAAACCAGTAATTCCATCTCTGGCCTTATCACATCTCCACCGCAAAGCTGCCTAGACCTTAGCTCCCAGTGGTGGTACTCTAAGAGCCCTCTTAGGGGCTTCTAACCCCAGTGCTTTATAATTTGAAGATAAACAAATGTGTGCAGATTGGTACAAAGCTCTGCACCTTATCTTACCTGTATAATGTGCATTTAACAGAGCCCTTCTAGGCACAATATTTTTACTCAAAGGAGTCATTTTACTAAATGAAATATCAAGAATTGGAGCAGCAGAGATGGGAAATGATTGGGCCTTGCAATGGATCAATTTGATCTAGGAAAATAAGGTCAAAACCAAGACAGATTCCCTCAGGATCTGAACTTAATAAGCCACCTTCTGGAATTTTATTAACTACTTTATTTTTCAGTAAATATGCTGGAAAAGTGGCTGGTTCCAGTAGCTTGAAGGCCAAGAAGCAGCACAAATGTTAACAGATTCAATACAGTCAAAATGTTAACAGATTCAATACAGTCAATGGATAGGGTTATATGCTAGGGACAGAGAGGGCCCCCTAGTAGACATGTGGGATTTCATCTGATCTTTCTGGAATCAGAATACATTATACTTGGAGGTAGGTTCCCCACTACATTTTTCTCTCTTCATACTCCCACCTTTTTTAACGGACTCTTGTGCTTTGCTCTTATTTCAATGATTCTATATCGGGGCCTTTTATGGGAAGGGCTGGCAAGTCCTTTCTGGAAAAAGGCAGAACAAAGATCAAAAAGACTCAATACCCGGAAGTAAGAAGCCACGGTCTGCCTCTTCATGTTGGTGGTTTCTTCTGGATGCCGTATCACCTCCAGAGTGTCCACCTGGAGCAGGGGCAGAGGGAAGTGATTTGAGGATATAGACATGCTCCAGCTTTTCCAAAATCTAGAAGGCTGTGTGATTAAAGCCCGAGGGACCTTGAAGTGTAGAACACAACAGTGCATGCTAGAAGAGTTAAGACTTATAAGAGAAAAATAGAATTTGCATTGTTCTACTCACTTAAGAAGGACCACACTCTGCAAAGCATCATGGTCTCAGTATAAACACCCTTCCCTGTTATTTCTGTATTTCTTGATGTTCTAATGGGCTCCTGTTAAGTTCTCCAATAATGTCACACGAGACCAAACTATTCCTTAAGAGAAAACTGGGCAGCGACTCATGAGACTGGGTGATTATAAAGACATGGGCCGAAAGCCCAGTTTGAACCCCAGGGAATTAGGTGAGCTTCAGTCACCTTCCTGCCATTGAACACTGCCTCTGCGACCCCTCCCACCTCCCCAGCCCCTACAGACTGGAGCCTGGGATACACCTGTTCCCAATCATCTATTCTAACTACCTAGACTGACTAGAAGGAATTTACATGAATGACAACAATTGTAGGAGACAGTCGTGTTTTGTTACCGTGCCTCAACAATAAAAACCCTGCTCCTACACATACAAAGCTATTTGGTTTGCAGAGAGCACGGGGGGCATTTGAGCACCAGCCTCTTCTGTGGCAGCCTCCCATCTGCTCTGAACACGTGGCAAGGGTAGGAAGCAGGAATGTCTGAACTGGAAGATGCTGCTGTCAGCAAGTACGTTCTGCTTGGTGGATGGCTGTCCAGGCAGCCACCTCCCCATGGTGTGAGGATGTCTGTGGCTTCGCTCAACAGAAGTGAAAAGTGGGTGCTAGAAGGGATGAGGGCATGGGGGTGAGGGCAAAACATGAGGCCTACCTCGACGGGTATTTAGGAGACTGTCCAAAATGGATAGAACTTATAGAATTGGTCTGAAATCATTATTTTATTAAAAAGACTTGCCTCATTTGTCAACTAAATTTACTCTAGGATAAAGACAGATTCCAAAAAAGTCTCATAAACTACCTAGATTTCAGCAATAAATGAAAAACTGAAAGATTTTTTTTTCTCATTCTTAGTAAGTGCCCATTATTTGCATCTTGAAACCTTAGGAGTACTTATATCCATCTTCTTGACAACATCTTTTGTCAAAAATTTTTACTGCTATCAAATGATCTGTCCACCCCTTAAGGAAGAAAGTCCTGTGACATCACTCCCCTTGAAGCCTCCACAGCTTTGAATGGAAAAGCAAGACTGGCTTTGACACCATCCTAATGTGTTGGAGCCAGCTTTCTAGAAGACCATCTCCGTTATTTTATCTTGGATAAATCAGAGAGTGTAGAGTGAGGGGTAATCTGTGCTGGTATTCTGGGTGAGGAAGGCAGAGGAATGGGGACCTGGCACAACCTAATAGCTACAAAATCAAATTGAGGAAAGGAGGTTTCCCTTCCATCAACATGGGCTGATGGAGAATATTACACAGGAGTCTTTAATCTTTTTGTGTCATCATCCCTTCATGAATCTAGTGGGAGCCAATAACCAAAAAAACCACACAAATACAGTTGATCCTCATTATTTGTGGATTCTATGTGTGCCTTTTTCTTTAAGTTTTTTTAAGTTTATTTATTTTGAGAGGGAGCAAGTACGCGAGAAAACAAGTGGGGGAGGGGCAGAGAGAAGGAGACATAGAGGATCCCAAGCAGTCCCTGCACCAATAGCACAGAGCCCAAAGTGGGACTTGAGCCCACAAACCATGTGATCATGACCTGAGCCAAGATCGAGTCAGCTGTTTAAATGACTGCGTCACCTCGGCGATCCTGTATGTGCCTACTTTTAAGTATTTATTTGTAACCCCCAAGTAAGTACCTGCAGTGCTTTCATAGTCATCCATAGACATAGGAAGTGGAAACTTTGATCAGCTAATGTACATGTTTCCAGCTCAGGCTGAATACGGTGACATTCCGACTCCCTGTGTTAGCTCTCCTGCTATATAAGCAAACGTCCTTTTCCAAGTTTATTGAAGTGCCATGTGCTTTACATTTTTGAACTTTTGGCTACTGACTTCACTGTTTCAAACAGCCCCCAAGTATAGTGCTTGAGTGCTATCTGGTGTTCCTAAGTGCAGGAAGGTTATTAAATACTTCTTAGAGAACATATGTGTGTTGGATAAGCTTCATTCAGGCATGAGTTATAGTGCCACTGGCCTGGAGTTCAAAAACACAAATACTGTAATTAAAATACGATTTTATATAAAGAAATGCTGCATGTAATTATTTGTAAGAAATACATATTAAATAATGTGTGTTTAAACAGAAACACACATAAAAGAAGATTATGTATTCATTGGTTGACAACAGTGTTGTGACCAGAGGCTGTAGGAACCTAACTATGTATTTCCCCTAGGAGCAATGTCTCAGTATGTGCTGATTCAGTGCTCACAGCAACTTTATGGAACATAATTTTTATGAATAATAAGAAACAATCAGGGTATCTGGGTGGCTCAGTCAGTTAAGCGTCTGATTTCAGCTCAGGTCATGATCTCATTGTTTGTGGGTTCAAGCCCCATGCTGGGCTCTGTGCTGACAGCTCAGGTCCTGGAGCCTGCTTCAGATTCTGTGTCTCCTTCTCTCTCTACCCCTCCCCTGCTCACTCTGTCTCTCTGTCTCTCTCTCTCTCAAAAATAAGTAAACATTATGGGGCGCCTGAGTGGCTCAGTTGGTTAAGTGTCTAACTTCCCCTCAGGTCATGATCTCATGGTTTGTGAGTTTGAGCCCCATGTCAGGCTCTGTGCTGACAGCTCAGACCATGGAGCCTACTTTGTTTAAAAAAAATTTTTTTTAATGTTTTATTTATTTTTGAGAGTCAGAGAGAGACAGAGCAAGCAGGGGAGGGTCAGAGAGAGAGGGAGATACAGAATCTGAAGCAGGCTCCAGGCTCTGAGCTAGCTGTCAGCACAGAGCCCAACACAGGACTTGAACCCACGAACTGTGAGATCATGACCTGAGCCGTAGTTGGATGCTTAACCGACTGAGCCACCCAGGCGCCCCTATGGAACCTACTTTGGATTCTGTTTCTCTCTCTCTCTCTATGCCCTCCCCTGCTTGTGTTGTCTCTCTCTCTCAAGAATAAATAAACATAAAAAGATAAGTAAACATTAAAAACTAAGAATCAATTGTACTTAACAAAATTTTACATGTAATAATATCAAGAAGTTCTACTATCTTAGAGCCATTGACACTCCTATGTGAATCTCTTCTAGGGGTGCACATAAACCATGTCCTAATAGTCCTAATATCTTGCCACAAACCCACAAGACTGAAAAGTTGAGTAATACATTGGGTTATAATATCAATACGGGTATAAACATTATTGCTAATAAAAACGATCTGGGTCCCTCTTACGTGTCGGTAAGTGTTTTGTTCTCAAAAGACGTATAGATATGTATGTTTCTATCAATTCTGAGATAATATTCAACAGTATTATGTATGGCTGAATTTATTATTCTTAAATCATTTAATATTCATTGTAAACAAAAATATATGAAAATTCAGAGATGTAATCTATTTTATTACTCTATCACCTTTCAGACCATTGGTTTTTGGTGTTAGTATACACAGTAAACACTAACCAGCCAATCCTTGAGATCCTTGCTAAACATCAGTAGGAAGGATGGAACAGTTAAAAATATTTTACAGTAGGATATCTATTAACCCTTCTAACATCCCATTTGCACACACAAGTACACTTCTCATTTTCAGAGGGCAAAGCAGAGTGATAAAAAATGGTTTGGTTTCTTTCCTCCCTGCTGACTCCATTTGGTCCCAGTTATCCTCCTCGGAAGGTTAGTGATAGCCTCAAGGGAAAATGCTTTATCTCTTTCTAGACAGACTTTATTTTCAAGTGTCATTGTTCTGTATCTTAAGTGGTCTTTCTGAGAATCACATGAAGATGTCCAGAATACCCCCAGTGGCATAGGTATTATTTTGAACTGAGGACATTTGAGAATCAACAGTTGCAAGAAGAGGCTTATTCTGAACTCCCCTCATCTGGCTAAAAACTGGGCCTCCCAAAATAATCCACCTGTCATAAATCTTCTCCCTGGCAGTTTCACAACCTGCCATGGAAGACTGACTCCTATCACCAGATGAGAAATGAGCACTGGGATAAGAAATTGCCTAAATAAACACTTGCAAAACAATCAGACCTCCCATCTATTCTCTTAAGGGACCATTTGTTTTTCTCAAAAGTCATTTGTTCTCCCAAAAGTGTTTCTCCTCCTATTTAACCCCTAGTAAGATGGTATATAAGCCTTAAATTCTAACTACGCCTTTGAGTCACTTTTTTGAGAATGAGTTCCTGTACGTACATGATTAGGATCTGTTTTTTCCCCTGCTAATCTTTCAGGTTGAGTTTAATTCACAGTCCCCCAGTAACTGAAGCTAAGAGGGTAGAGGAAAAGTTTTCTTCCCTGACACAAGATTGTAAGGATTCCATGATGTTGTTTCAAATTTCCTAATTCCTGATTTCCTAAATGCCTTCCATCTCTTGACCAGACTGCCCCAGCAGTGTGCCAGATAAACTCAAGTTGTCTACCCTAGGACTGTCCTAAGGCAGGAGCACCCCATGGTCCCTGTTACTTTGGGTACAAACCTGCTACTCACCTTGGTTCTTCCAGCACTGAAATGCGGAGGCAAAGATCTTGAAGCTGCCGTTATCCTGGCTCTTGTCTGGGCCAAGTTACCTATGCAAAAAAGAAAATAAAGTTAAACTGAAGGAAAAGTTAAGGAATAGTATTATGAGTAATTTTTCCCTTTATGTCCTCATATTTGTATTAATTTTCCAAACGATCTGCTCTGATTATGAAAAATTTAGAAGAATTTGAATCTTGAAACCTTAATGACATAAATTATAAACAAAGTATAATTTATAAGTTAGTTTATAATATAAACTGAATTTATATTAGTTTCATAAGCAAAAAGAAACAAAAAAAACCTCTCCAATTCACTCAATAAGCTATGAATAGAAGGAAATCACCACAACATAAAAAGGACATAAATGAAAAGCCCACAGCTAACATATTCAACAGTGAAGGATTAAAAGCTTTTCCTCTAAGATCAGAATCAAGGCAAAGATGCTCACTCTTACCACCAACCTGCAGCCCTAGCTCAAGCACTTAGGCAAGAAAAAGAAAGAAAAGATACCCAAATCGTAAAGAAAGAAATAAAATCGTCTCTGTTCATTGGTGGCATGATCTTATATATAGAAAACGCTAAAGACCCCACCAAAAAAACCTGTTAAAATTAATAAATGAATTCCATAAAGTTATAAAATATAAAATCAGCATATAAAAATCAGTTGCATTTCTATGCACTAACAATGAAAATATGAAAAGGAAAGTAGAAAACAATCTCACTTACAATAGTATCAAGAAGAATAAAATACTAGAAATAAACTTAATTAAGGAGGCAAAAGACTTATATGCTGAAAACTACAAAACATTTTTGAAAGAAGTTAAAGAAGACACACAAATAAATGGAAAGACATCTTGTTCTGGGGGAAGAAAAGAATCTTTCTCCTCTGGTCATCTTAGGTTCGTTTCCTGGGGCCCTGCAAATTAGACTGAGAGAAGACAGTTTAACAAGAAAAAACAAAACAAAACAAAAAAAACCCAGAAGTTTATTAGTGCCTGCATCACACATACACACAGGAATACCCAGCAATGAGTAACTCAAGGGGTGGTTAGAACTGGGCTCACATAGCATCATAATAAAAGAACAATAAATTTCTAGGTAAGTGACAAGACCAAAAAAAAAAAAAAAAAGATCTTTGAGTTTATAGGGGCAGTAAATTATGGAAAGGTAAATATATGGAGAAGCTAATGGAAGGTAAGGGCTAGTTAGTAAAGCCTTTGTTATATAGATTCCTCTGGTGCTGTCTCTGGGCTGATAAGGGTCTAGAGTTGTCTCTGATGAGTAACTTTTGTTCTTCCTGATAGAGAAGGGTCAGGGTGGGGGGGCACTTCTACCAATTTAGGTCTTGCTCTTGGGGAGGGCAGAGAGCTCTTCCTATATCTGCTTCTTCTCAATTGCTCACAGCTCAAAATAATCTTTATGCCAAAGTGGCATATTTTAGGGTGGCATATTCTGTTACTCTTTACTGTGTTCCTGAATTGAAAGACCTAATATTGTTAAAATGTCCATTGCTACTGAAAGAGATCTATGGATTCAATGCAATCCCCAACAAAATCCTAATGGATTTTTAAAAAATAGAAATATAAAAATAATCCTAAATTTCATCTGGAACCATAAAGGTCCCAAAGTTCCAAACAATCTTGAGAGGAAGAGAAAAGCTTCATACTTCCTGATTTCAAGATATATTATAAAGCTACGGTAATCAAAATAGTATGGTATTGGCATAAAGTCAAACATATAGACCAATGGAACAGAACAGAGAGCCCAGAAATAAACATTTGCATGTATGGTCAAATGGCCTTTAAGACAGGTATCAAGATTAAACAATGGGGAAAAGCAGTCTCTTTAACAAACTATGTTTGGAAAACTCACATGTAAAAGCATGAAACTAGACCCCTATCGTACACAAAATTCAATTCCTATTGGATTAAAGACTTAAATATAAAACCTGAAACTACAAAACTCCTAGAAGAAATTATAGGGGGGGAGTTTCATAACATTGATCTTGGCAATGATTGAATAGGATATCAAAAACACAGGCAATAATAGTAAAAATAGACAAGTGAGATCACATCAACTAAAAGCTTCTGCCAGGAAAGGAAACAATCAACACAGCGAAATGGCAACCTACCACTGGGAGAAGATATTTGCACGCCAAATGTAAGGGGTTAATTTCTAAGATCTATAAGGAACTCCTACACTTCAACAGCAAAAAATATAATAACATAACCTGATTTTAAAATGGGCAAAGGAGTTGAATAGGCATTTCTCTAAAGATGACATAAAAATGGCCAACAGGTATATAAAAAGATGCTCAACACCACTAAGAATCAGGGAAACGCATATCAAAACCACAACAAGATATCACTGTATACTGTTAGGGTAGTCATTATAAAAAACAACAATAACAGAAGAAAATAACAAGTGTTGGCAAAGATATAGAGAAATTGGAACATTTTTGCACTGCCCGTGGGAATTTAAAATGGTGCACCCAATATGGAAAATAGAAAACAGTATGGAGGTTCTTGAAAAAATTAAAAATAGAATACCATGTGATCCAGTGATCCCACTTCTGGGTATTTATCCAAAACAATTGGAAACAGAATTGTGAAGAGATATTTGCCTCCCATGTTCATTGCATCATTCACAATAGCCAAGTAGTGAAAACAAACTACATAGTCATTGAAGAATGAATGGATATAGAAAATGTGGTTTACACATACACTGGAACATTACTCAGCCTTATAAAAGGAGGACATTCTGCCATTTGAGACAACACAGATGGATCTGGAGGACATTATGTTAAGTGAAGTAAGCCAGTCACAAAGACAAATACTTCATGATTCCACTTTATGATGTATCTAAAATAAATAAGCTCCTAAAAGCAGACGGTAGAATTTTAGTAATGCAAGATGAAAAGGGTCTAAAGATTTGCTGTACAACAACGTGCATATAGTGAACAATATCAGATTATACACTTAAAATTGTGTTAGGAGGATATATTTCATGTTATGTTCTTTTATCACAATAAAAAAAATGTCTCAAACTAGGGCTCTGTTAGTCCTTGAAAGAGATGGATATACAAGAAAAAAGATGCTGGGAGTTTTCCTGAAAGAGAAACTGGACAACAGAGAACCCCACTGTGAAGGTTTAAGACGCAGACACTGATTAGCAGACCTGGTAGTATGGGTCTCTCAGCATATAGAGAAAACACCACACAGGGAACCAGAGGACACAGAGAATATGGGCAACCGCCATGGAGTTCTGAGCTGATGGGTCTTTGCATTTGCCAGGGGTGTGACCTTGAACAACTTGATTAATATCTCAGAGCCTCTGTTTCCTCGTCTATAATATGAAGGCAGTACTACCTCATCCTTGAACATTCTTGGAGTTGTTGTAGGCGTTCAATGAGGGTAACTCACGACAAGCACTGTCAACGTGGGGTTGATGCATGGTAAGTGCTCTCTTCATGTTAGTCAGCACTAGTTATTATCAGTCCTATTATTATTATTATTTGCTGTGCATAGCTCACACAGGGTCTCAAAGCAGAGAGCAGAAGGCAAGAGAACACCAAGGAATCTTATTAATTTCCAACTGTGAGCACTGGTCAGTAAAAACACAGATGAACGATGAGGAAAAAATGATAAGGCAATCCCCCCCCCCCAAACTTTGAACCTCGATCTCTTGGCCACTCTGATTCCCAATGCTTTTTACCTTTGAAGGAGCTGAGTGACCTTCTCAGACGCTCTTCTTCCCTCATCACCTACCTACCCACCCTTAATCTCCTCTCCTGTCCCTAGCTTCCCAAACTAAGTGCTTGAAGAGAGCGGTTTACTTTTTTTTCTTTTACCTAGGATGTCATCTGATTCTGTAGCAAAATAAGAAGTTGTCAATGAAAGGAAATGCTGCAATTTGTGCACAGGCAAGACACTCAAGATTTCAAAGTTTTTAGCAAGTCTAGCACAAAGATGTCCAAATGTTTTCTCTGGCGATATCTTCAGAGGCTAAACTGTGATTAATAGCCCAGAAAGAACCCTTTGAAGCAGGATTGGTGACATCAAAGTCATAATCCAGGGGTGGCAGGAGCTTTATAATGAGTGGGAAGCATTTTAACACATTTCAAAGGATTTACAGCATGAATAAACAATAGACCTCAGCAGATGCACGACACACACCTTTCAGAAACATAACCTATAAGAAGTTTCCATTTTAATTTAAATGTAAATACAGTGTTCACATTTGTTTCAAAGCCTCCTCCCTGCTTCACCCCTAGACAGCCTCTTTGGCGGGGGATGTCTTACTGCCCCAGAGCACCCTCCTGTAAGGACGGGACTAAACTGTGACTACTGACGTGTGCTGAGGAGAGAAAATGCAAGTCAGAGGCATCTGATGGAATCTATATCCTATGTTGGAACGGGGTTAAGAAAGAATCTGAAATGGAGCTTACAATGATCCTGCACAATTTCTCTGCTTCCAACTTGAAGAGAAAGGGACAAGGGGTCTGAAGACAGAGCTGGAACTTTTAAACAATGGCAATTTCCTGCCTGCTTCAGAGGATTTCATCACTTGGAAAGTACCCAGGACCCATGATTTCATCTTCCTAAGTTGCTTCCTAAGAATTGTCCCAAATGATGGGTTGCTGTTTAAATAATCATGCATAGAATTTGGCTTCCCTCTGCTGCCCTCTCTGGTTTACAGAATTTGTTGCAGGGTCCCAGTGGTGACTGGTAGCAGGCATTTGTTTGGAAATTTTTCCTATTTTAATTTTCCTTAACACAAAGTATAGGTTCATAAACTAAATGACTGCAAAAACAATGATGAAATGTAAAAGTCTTCTGTCAAATTGCTACTAAAAAAAGAGCTGCAAATAAAAAATCAAATGTTTCAGTTTATCTGCTACCAGAAGTTATCTGAGGAGACCAGAGAACTGAAACCATTGATCCAACAGTCAGTCTGGATACAGAAAACCTAAACCACACCTTACAATCTACTGGAAAATGACCTCGCATCATCCCCGTCTCCATTAGCATGAATCTGTTTCCAGGCAGGT